TTCGTGCAGGCAGTTGGTAAGAGATTGAGGGGGGAGCTGGGAGGATGGAGTAATGCTGAGATAGATTTGGGTATCATCAGCATAGCAGTGGAAGTTGAGTCCATGATTGCGGATGATCTGGCCGAGGGGGAGCATGTAAATGGTGAACAGGAGGGGGCCAAGCACAGAGCCTTAGGGGACACTGTGAAGGTGTTACAATGCCATCAATACAACCAGCAGAATTATTAGGGAATCCAAAATATGGGAGAAGAGTAGAAGGACTGGGAGTCAGGGAAATTAAAAGAGAAAGAGTGTGGGAAGAGCCGAAGACAGTGAGAATAAGACATTTGGAAGAAAGAATGAGGAAACAACCTGTAGAGTGTCTGGTTAAGTAAGATACAACTAATTAAATCAGCAAAGGGGAACATGGAAAAAAATAGACAGAAATAAAGAGTTTCATCAGTCGACAGTCATCCAAGATGTATAAAACAACTCATATAATTTTTATTTGCTCTCAGTTAAAGTATTTCAACCAATATATCCAAAGAATATTTAAACAAATTAGCAGAAATCAAAAGACAACCACTATACTATATATTGCCATCGAATATAACAACTAAAATAATTAATTATTGTATCAAACAATCTCAAATATCCAAAATTCATTGGTTCTAATAAGACAATGACAATTCCTTTGTGTAAATTCAAAACATTATTCACTTTGCTTAAATATTATGGTAGTAGTCTTGGTTTCTTAAAGCTCACAAAGAAGAATGTGGTTCAGCTTGGAGTCCGGCTCTGTGTGCAGCGAAGCCCCTTCGGCTGACTGCTAGGGTCTGGTTTCCAGAGTGTCAGGATCAAAACATCAGGTCGTTAGTACTGCGTCCATTCATCCACACCCATATCCACCCATAAATCTATCCACACCGCATCCACATCGCATCCACATCGCATCCACATCGCATCCACATCACATCCACCCATAAATCTATGTATCCATTCTCCCACCATCCACCAATATATTCACAATCCAACCATCCATCTGTCCTAAACCAATCTATCTATTTATCCATCCTTCCATCCACCCAACAACCCTATTTATCGAACCATCCATCCACCTTCCAATCTCCCATTCATCCCTGCATTTTCCACCCACCCATTAACCCTCATTATCTATCCATCCACCCACAATCCATCCAACCACCATCTATCCATTGATCTATCTATCTATCTATCTATCTATCTATCTATCTATCTATCTATCTATCTATCTATCTATCTATCTATCTATCTATCTATCTATTCATCCATGCTCCCAACCACCCATCCATTAACACCATGTATCTATCCATCCACCCACCCAACCCTCCATCCGTCCATCCATCTTCCCACCAATCCATCCAGCCATCCATCCATCTATCTAACCTCCATCCACCCACTCACTCACCATCCATCCATCCATCCATCCATCCATCCATCCATCCATGGATGAAAAGAGGAACAGAATGAAAGCAATAAAAGGCTCTGGGTCTCACACACTGTGGGAGTTAACATAAATTGTAGGGAACAAATCACTGTCATGTATATGTCTATGCATAAGTTATGGAAGCTGTACAGAGATTATTGTAACAAACATTTAAAAACAAAGACTGGTTGAAATAGTGACCAACCGTCTAAATACATAAAATCCTAAAACTAAAAAAATGCTTTTGGAGGGACACCTCCTTTTTTCCCTTTATCAGTTTCTATCTTTACTTCATGGCCGGACAGAAAACAATACTGTATCAACAAAATACATTTATCCTTCCCCTTATTAAAAGAGGCTGCGAGAAATGATTGTGTCGTTTACTCTTATCTATATTTATTTGATTATTTTTTTTATCTAAATGGATGGTCATGCAAATAGAAAAAGCCAAGTCCTTTTTGCTTTTAGCTTGGTGGTTAAAGGTTACCTCTTGGCCAGCTCACCTCTTGATGAGTTGACTACTTGCTGATTGCTGTGTTACAAGGTGAGCTGGCGTGTTAGCAGTCTCCTGGTGCTTTTAGCTCGAGAGCTAACTAGCCTTTCAGAGGCAACTAGTTATTTTTCCATATACACCTGCTAAGTGTGCTTTCTCAGTTATACAGTTCAGCAATTGCTCCACGGATCGCTTCTTATCTTGATATTCCTGCTGGAATCCATTTATTTTAAGTCAACCATTTTAGCTTCCAGGAAAACAAACCAGGTAGCTAGCTAGCTAGGAATAGCTTTTCAAGAGGTTGACTTGTTGTTTTAAGGTGGACTGGTATTCCAAAATCATTGCTTGAATGTTGCCTTGTATACTGACATGCCAACTAGCCAACAAGTAGATGGATTTACTGCAAGCTCCACTGAGAGATCCATCGGCATTCCGAGATTGCGCTACATTGAGCGGCATCTACGAGAACTTAAGCAGTTGATTAATCAACAGCTGGTCCGTGAGCAGATGGTAATTTGAGATGTTTTTTTTTGTGCTCCAAAGTCCAACTTGGTAGGAGCACTCCTGTTTGTCGATACCATTGTTCGAGTATCCTGGACATTTTTCATTTGTACATCCACATGTCCGTAACGGTCTAGAAAATCTCTGCACAGGTCCAAAGTGTATAACCAGTCATTGTATCAGTCCGTACCCAGTTGTCCAGAACCAGTGTACAATCAGTTTTAAAAGATGAATCTGCTTGTCTGTGAGAAGTCTGCAGCCATTTAATCCAACTATTGAGACTCCAAGGCTTATGCAGTCTTCAGGCAGTCCTTTCTTCATGGTGTGGGATAAAGTTTCTCAAAACTAGTCTGCAGGCATTCCCTAAGCAGTCCCTCCTTATAAACAAGGCTGTACACAGTCCAAACACCCAATAAGGAACCAGTCTAAACCTTTACCAAATCCAGTCTTAAAACAGTCTGTAAACCGGTCTGTAATCCGGTAGGCCTACCAGTTGAGCAGTTCCTCTACCAAATGTCAGAGCTTAGTTCTCTGCTGGTGAGAGGTACAAAGGTGCTGTTCATGTGGAGTTCTGGTTTCTTCCCAAGCGTGCTGCTCTGATGCCCCTGGAAAAAACACATCACAACGGTGATTAGTAGGAATCTCCTTAAAACAATGATTCCTGGCAAACATATACAATTAAAAAACGGGCTGCATTAATACAAAGCTCTAATGCATGCCAGAAGTGCACCATGCTCACTGTATTACTGCATATGACAGCTATTTCCCAGTCTGTTAAAAATAAATACATGTTTTAGATTGGATAATATGAATATACTATTTTCTTTCTACATTTGCTTTTATCCAAACAGACCTCTTGTTCCCCAGTGAACAGCTTTGAACCCCTGGGGAGAAAAGAGGGTTTTATTTGTAATGTGATAGGACATGCAGATAAACAAAAGCATGGACATTCAAGGAAAGGATACACTGTGTAGGTGTTGGATGCTAGGAATTGCAAACAAAATTATTGATCCTGTCTTTTTCTCCCACCTGTCCATTCAGCAGTGTCATAGGGATGTTGCAATAGACGTGGCGCCCCCCGGGGCCCAGGGTGGAGAACTGCACGGTGGAGGGAGGTGGGAGGGGAGGCGACATGGATGGGGGCTGTGGGGGAAGCTGGAACTCATAGCTGCGGCAGAAGTGTCTCATTTGGGCTGCTGTGGCAGTGTGACCACCTCCCAGCGGCAACGTCATGTGATTATAGTCCGGGATGTCCGTCCCCAAGGCAACCTGTAGTGAGACAACACAGCTCTTTAATTTTTTAGTGAAGGTAATTATAACTCTATAATTCCAAAACTACTGCTGTGAAAATGAGAAAAAGAAAAAAACAAACTCTGTTGAGACTTCTCAATAGATAGTTTTTCAGCGAACATTTCCATTTCTTGAGCAGATTTTTATCCGTTCAAGGGCTGTCAAATACCGACCGATGGAAACAATCCAGGTCACCACTGGTTCTGGAAACACATCGACTCAAACAAGCAAAATTAGTTTGAAGTAACAAACATGCAGTAGCTTACCTGATGATGTCCATGGCGACTGTCATTTTGGGGCGCCAAGGAGGCGGAGGTGGTTGTCATGGCAATGCTGGATACTGTGGTCTGCAGGTCACCAAAGAGACCCTGTTCGCCGGAGTCCATCACCTGTTAGCATGGAAACAGTTATATAGCTTTAACGATGCAGATTTATACAATTGTTTGAGTAATCAAGGATATTTAAACCGATTTGGGAAATTACAACAGTAATAGGAAACATATTGGAATACATGTTCATGTCAAAAGATAAGACTTTTTTTGTCTACGCCCCCATCATTCTGATCCATAATGTATTGAGTTTTACTGTTGCCTGTGCAACAACTTCCTACGCTTGTTGTTAATTCGTAATCCAAACATTCAGACCAAACCAACAATAAAACCTCCTTTGCCAAGGTAGTTAACCCTAATAGTTCATAACAAAAATATAATTCAGTCTTGTTCGAGTAACATTTTTAGGAAAGACATTTTTTTTTATCTTCAGATGGATTGGAGACTTTGTTGCATACCACAGGTTATTTGAAATCAAAGTCAGAAACTTTTGACAGACACACTTTTTCCTTTGGGAATTGTTTACAGTCAGAACAATTTTAACCTCATAGCCTTATTATCTAAATGGATTAAGTTCATTTGGGTTTGTTTGAAGGTCCCTGCAGGGTATTCACAGTCGAACACCATAAAACGTGTTTCTTTAAAGCCTTCAAATCTCATATTAGTACAGGATATTATGTGAGGATGACATCATAGCCCCTGTTTGTCTCCTTTGGTCTGAAACTATTTAGCTAAAGTTCACCTTATCATATTTGGGTATTTAGTGCATTAAGGTCACTATCAAACGTTAAGTTAACTAGTGAGGTTCACATTGACTCAGGCAGTTCATAAATGTCAACCTCCAAGGTTCTGGTGGTTGTGAGGGTCAGAACACAGCTGATCTCCATTCAGTGTTTGTTGCTGAGCAAGATGGATGGCTTGAATTCTTGAGAGTTCTCGAGCCAACAAATTATAAAGTGTGTTTCTTTGCCCATAAATTGAAACGACTTGACCTTTTCTTCTCGTCTCCTTGCTACATAGCGTTATAGGAGAATTAATATATAGGTGCAGGCATGAGTTCTAAAACCTGGCAATGAGTTAGCATTTTACCACTTCAGGTTACCTTGTCTCAAATTCAACAGATGTTTGATCACGTTATTGTTAAGATAGAAATAAGTTCTGTGGTTACACCTTAAAAGATGTTCACGTTCAGGTATGGGACATAACATATGTCAGTAATTACCCCACTAGTGAACGTTTGAATCTTCTATGTGTCATGAAGACAACCGTTGCTTACAATTGCGTATATGAAACTACTAAACGTCATCACTCCGAATATTAATCACCTTTAGCTTAGTAGTGTTCATATAAACGTTAGCTTTTTACTTCTAGCAATTGCATTTAGGCTTCAAAAATCATACAAATTGTGTTAATATGAGCAGAATATCCTGCAGGAGAACATATCTTAGCTGATCAGGTCATACACCACCTGAAGTGTTAACACATGGTAAACGTGAGTGAGTGTGCGTGTGTGCCCCCCAGGGGATCATCAGTAAATGTGCAGACTACATTAACACAGCTAGTTCCTTAGGCTCCTGGACATGCCATGGACACAGTGTTGTTCTGCTAATGCATCGTCCATGAGTAGGAGGGGAAAGGTTTCAGTGGATATTGTTTAAGATGAACATCTTCAACAGTTTTTTTTCCAAACCATTATGTTCTTTTCTTAAAAAGTAATGTTGTTTCCATTGTATTACTTTTTGTTTGAACATGTAAAGGTTTTGTAGTTCTGCTCATCCAGACAGTGCCGGTTTGTGCAGGATTGTGAAAACATATTTAATCTTAATTTCTGGTAAATAGCAGTGTACCTGGCGTCTGGACAACGTCTCTCTGCGTTTAGCAGGCATATCGTAGACCACCTGTTTCCAAAACTTAGATGACAGCTCATTGCTCTTAGGACCCCTCCACTTGATGATGGATAAAACCTGAGGAAAGGGAAGAGATTATTATTATCCTCTGCTGTCTGAAGACAAAT